CTGTGTTATTACACACTTCCTTACACCCTGTGTTGTTACACACTTCCTTACACCCTGTGTTATTACACACTTCCTTACACCCTGTGTTATTACACACTTCCTTACACCCTGTGTTATTACACACTTCCTTACATCCTGTGTTATTACACACTTCCTTACACCCTGTGTTGTTACACACTTCCTTACACCCTGTGTTGTTACACACCTCCTTACATCCTGTGTTGTTACACACTTCCTTACACCCTGTGTTGTTACACACTTCCTTACACCCTGTGTTGTTACACACTGCCTTACACCCTGTGTTGTTACACACTTCCTTACACCCTGTGTTGTTACACACTTCCTTACACCCTGTGTTGTTACACACTTCCTTACACCCTGTGTTGTTACACACTGCCTTACACCCTGTGTAGTTACACACTTCCTTACACCCTGTGTAGTTACACACTTCCTTACACCCTGTGTTGTTACACACTGCCTTACACCCTGTGTAGTTACACACTTCCTTACACCCTGTGTAGTTACACACTTCCTTACACCCTGTGTTGTTACACACTGCCTTACACCCTGTGTAGTTACACACTTCCTTACACCCTGTGTTGTTACACACCTCCTTACACCCTGTGTTGTTACACACCTCCTTACACCCTGTGTTGTTACACACTTCCTTACACCCTGTGTAGTTACACACTTCAGGCGCCTCGCGTGTCTCTGCTGTCACTCCCGCAGTACATTAGTTTATTCAGGATCTTCACTGGATGGATCTATTGTTTATTTATACTTTTCACTAAATGGATCTATCCTTCTCTTACATTTTTCGCCCAATTACAGATTTAGCACTTCCCCACGAATAATAATAATAATAATAATAATAATAATAATAACAATAATAATAATAACAATAATAATAATAATAATAATAATAATAATAATAATAATAATAATAATAATAATAATAATAATAATAATAATAACAACAATAATAATAATAATAATAATAATAATAATAATAATAATAATAATAATAATAATAATAATAATAATAATAATAATAATAATAACAACAACAATAATAATAATAATAATAATAATAATAATAATAATAATAATAATAATAATAATAACAACAACAATAATAATAATAACAATAATAATAATAATAATAATAATAATAATAACAATAATAATAATAGCAATAATAATAATAATAATAATAATAATAATAATAATAATAATAATAATAATAATAATAATAATAACAACAACAACAATATAATAATAATAATAATAATAATAATAATAATAATAATAATAATAATAATATTAATAATAACAACAACAATAATAATAATAATAATAATAATAATAATAATAATAATAATAATAATAATAATAATAATAATAATAATAATAATAATAATAATAGTAAGGATGGGTACATGTTGAAACAGGAAAGACTGGTGGAATGATAAATAAGGTGGTAAAAGGGAAAAAGCGCAAGCATGATATACAGACAGAATATAATGGAGGGATATATAAAGATTACAGAGAGTGACAAAGGAGTTCAAAAGGAGAGCAGATGAGAGACTTGGCGCGTCTTTGTCTGCAAATTTTGCCGAAAACAAAAAAACGGTTTGGAGAGAAAATAAAATTTTGAGGAAGTGTAGAGTTACTAACGAAAGAGGGAAGTTGTTAGATGGAGAGGTGGAGGTACTGGGAAGATGGAATGTTTTGAGGAATTGTTGTATGTTGGTGATAGAAGGGTGGCAGGAATTTCATGCATTGGCCAGGGAGGTATAACATCTTTCAGGAGTAAGGAAGAACCAGTTGTGAGTGCTGGGGGAGGTGAGTGAGGCTCTGAGTAGAATGAAAGGGGGTAAAGCAGCTGGGATAAATTGGATTCAGTCTATGTTAAAAACAGGTGATGATGTAGTTTTAGACTGGCTGATGTATTTGTTTAACATATACATTAAATATTGGAATAAAAATATGGATAGGTCCTCTGTATAAGGAAAAGAGGGATGAGGGAAGTGAATAAATGTGTGGTAGAGTTATTATTGAAAGAGTTAAGCTTAGATAAAAAGTAGGAGCGCAGAGGAACAAGGCGGATTTAGGAAGGGTAGGGGAAGTGCAGACCAAGCGTTGACAATGAAACGAATAATTAAACATCTAAATAAAGGTACGGAACTCTTTCATCACATTTATGGATTTAGAACCAATGTGACAAAATGTATGGGACAGGTAGTAGGTTATTCAGTATTGTGATTCCTTTCTTAGCCTGGTTGTCTGTGTGAGCAGCGCGTCCATCTCACAATCAGCGGACCGAGGGTCCACCCTCCACTGCTCCCTGCGTTAAATGACACACCGGTTTAAGCGCTTCACATGCATCCAAGAAGATATAGAGTAAAAAGTTTTTATACAGAGAATGAAGCTGAAGTTAAGATCTGTTGGAGAGAGTTTATTTCCCCATTAAGATCAGGGCTTAGCGATGTGTGATCTCACTCTGGTTGTTCAACATAGATGGGGTTGTAAAACAAGTGAACACTAGGGTGCTGGGGAGAGGCGCGAAACTGAAAGATGACGAATCTGATACGAGATGATAGTTGCCACTGTTGCTCTTGCTGATGGCAGTTCTTTTGGGTGATTCTGAGGAGAGGGTAAAAAGGTCAGTGGTGTAATCTGAAAGGAATGTAAATGAAGGAAATTGAAAGTGAACAAGGTGATGCGAACAGCAAAAAATATATGTAATGAAAGGTTGTATATCAGACTGGAGGGAGTGAGTATGGAGGAAAACAAAAAATCACAATGCAGTGACTGGAACAATACACAAATAACCCGCACGTAGGAGAGAGGAGCTTACGACGACGTTTCGGTCCGACTTGGACCATTTACAAAGTCACACTAACGCAAAGGAGTGGGGGAAGTAAATGTTCTTAGATATTTGGTAAATGAACTCGTCAGCAGATGATTTTGTGAGAGATGAGGTAAACCATAGAACTGACGAAGAGAAGATGGGTGGTGCCCTGAGGTGTCAATGGAAGTTTTATCCGCAGAGACAAAAAAGGGGATTGTACCAGAGTATACAAGTGTATACTGAACGTCACCGTGACTGCCTCTAGCTAAGCAGACGGAAGATCGAGCCTCCACCACTCATCATGATGTATGTCCCATATGAGTTTAACACGTCCCTTCAGTAAAAAAAGAGGTACCAGCACTGGGTGTGAAGCATGGGTTTTAAACGTTGCAGCGAGGACGAGGCTGGAGGCGGGGGAGATATCTTGCTCGAAGGCAATGTGTGGAAATTAGAAAACGGTCTGGAATTAAGAAAGGTATAATCCAGAGGGCTGAGGAGGGAATGTTGAGGTGGTCTGCCTACTTAGAAATGGTGGAGAAAAAATAGGGTGGCAAAGATGGTACATAAATTCAGGACGAAGGGAAGGAAGGGTAGAAATAGTTCCAAGGAAAGTTGGTGGGGGCAGGGTTTAAGGAGGTTTTAAGTGGTAAAGGCTTGGACATCCAGCAGGCTTGTTTAAGAGTGTTAGAATGGAGTGGAAGCAAGTGGCGTTTAGGATTTGACAAGCTATTGGGGCATGAACAAGGTGATAAATTAGACACGTGCAACACTTGGATATCTTTATTGAGAAAACGTTTCTCCACACAGTGGCTTCATCAGTCCTATACAAAGAAGAAGAATGGTTACGATCAGAAGGAGTCTGAGGTATTCAGTCCCTCAGTCTGGATTATTATTATTATTATTATAATCAAGGGGAAGCGCTAAACCCGGAGGATTATACAGCGCCTGGGGGGGGATGTGGAAGGCATTCAGGCTTAATTCGGGGAACTGGAGCACAGATCCAATTCCCTAAATCAAGAGCCCCTCACCAACATCAAGGAACCTTCCTTGAGGGGACCCACAGTCTGGAGCCGATGTAATCAGTCCATCAATCTTGAAAAGATTACAGCATATGCGCGAAGAAGCGGCTTATATATTGCAGACAAGTGAAGCAGTCATAGGTGATATCACACTGGACAAATCCACAGGTGGAAGTAGGTCATGCCTGCAATCTAAGCAAGTGAAGAATTCCCTGTATCAAGATTCCAAGATATTGCTGTGTCTGACAGCAATATAGGTAAATGGTTCAGAGATCCGGTTCTCTGAACAACCATTTATCTACGTATGATCAAGGTAACATTTATGAAGCGATTCAGGAATACCGGTTAGCCGGACTTGAGTTCTGAAGGTGGTAAGTACAGTGGCTGTACTCTGAAGGGAGGGAGGGATCATTTGAACTGTAATTTCCGCTCACTTCTGGCAAGACAGCTATTGTGTTAGTATTGGCGAATGTGTTTCCTTTTTTTCTGAAACGTAGGGAGACAGCCGATCTGGTAAAAAAAAAAAAAATGCTACTGCCACTACAACTATTATTGCTACTGCTACTACCAATACTATTATTACTACTACTACTAATAAAAATGATACTTTAATAACAATGATAATAATACTTTAACAATAATAAAATCCTATTTCCTTTACTCCTGACAAGTTCATCCTTATCTCTGATCCTTTCATTTTATCCCTGTTAGCCTCAGACCCAGTCCCCACAGCCTCTATTAAAGTAATTTTCCCTAGATTCTCCCTAATAGCGAGAGAGCAGTTCCTAGTGGTGGGACTCCTGCTGTGGACACCAATCATAACCATTCTCATGTTCAGGTGAATACTCCTGTCTGCTGGTGGCGCTGGTCTTCAAGAGAGAGTTCTCGTACTACCTCATCCAGTACTACATCCCCTGCTGTATGTTGGTGATCGTGTCTTGGGTGTCGTTCTGGCTGGATCAGCACTCAGCACCGGCCAGAGTGGCTCTCGGGGTCACCACTCTCCTGACTATGTCTACGCAGAGATCTTCAATCAACCAGTCGCTGCCTCCTGTCTCCTACACTAAGGTACCACCCTAGAACGCACTTGGCTGAACATTTAATAACATCCTTTATCTGTTGGACAGGTGAATACAGTTGCCTTCGCGTAGACTTGGTCTTCAAGAGAGAGTTCTCGTACTACCTCATCCAGTACTACATCCCCTGCTGTATGTTGGTGATCGTGTCTTGGGTGTCCTTCTGGCTCGACCAGAATGCCGTCCCGGCCAGGGTATCCCTGGGGGTAACCACGCTCCTGACTATGTCCACGCAGACCTCCAGTATAAACAGTACTCTGCCGCCCGTATCCTACACCAAGGTCAATCAGTATCACTCTCGGTGTGCATTGCATCCTGTGGAGATATGTAGCTGATCCTGAGGGGAACCGAACCACTCCAGCACGCTGGCCCTCCTTACGGTCCTCTTCACTTAACACCCATAACCCCCCCAACAAGCTGACTCTTTCTTACCTACCTCGAGTGTTTACCTTGTCAAACCTCTATCCTTTCCTATACTTCTTACCTTCCCTACACAGGCATACAGTAACCTACACTTGCTCCTCAAGTAGCACTGTCAAGTGAACCACTTGAGGGATACTTTGAGTATTGCAGTGTGCTAGTGGGTCAACTAACGTGGATGAATCCCAGTACCATGGCTGGCATGTGTTTTAAAGTGTGTTGTGAATGTGCGCCTTTACAATAACCTAGATAAATACAAAGTATCTGGAAAGCTCTTCGGTGCTTGGTAAATATTTATCTATCCTGTTCTAGTAAAGCAGATGGTATTCTACCTTAACTGAGTAGATTAAAACACTGTTTGCTGCCGTGTGTGTGTGTGTGTGTGTGTGTGTGTGTGTGTGTGTGTGTGTGTGTGTATGTGTATGTGTGTGTGTGTGTGCATGCTGTCACGGGTCAAACGTCTCTATTGATTTAATACTTTTTCGTCGTTTTTAATTGAATGTTAGGGAAATGGAGAGCATTTAAAAAACCCTTTGATGAACTCTCATTGCTTCTACTAACAAGCGCTTCCACCCACGTTGATAATCTTAGTGTTGGTGAGCGAGGTGAGTTACTCCCTAACACGGACTTCAGTAGGTAGCTTTAACTTATAGGAAATACGAGCCAATACTTACTACTTATTAATTGCTTATTAATATTCTCTGTGATTTACTGGGATGTAGAGTGGTGTATATAAAGAACAAGAAGGCACAATACCGTCACTGGAACAATACACAAATAACTCACACAGAGAGAAGAGACGTTTCGGTACAACTTAGACCACTTACAGAGTGGTCTAAGATGAGATGATGGAGGTGGGATCTGTGACTCAGCAGGTTAATCACACGAAAATCTTCCACAAAGGAGGTTCCTTGATGTTGGTGAGGGGCTCTTGATTTAAGGAATTGGACCCATGCTTCAGTTCCTTGAATTAAGCCTGAATGCCTTCCATTCCCCGAGGCGCTACATGACCCCTATGGGTTTAGTGCTTCCCTATAACTGTAATAACAATAATTAGCACACAAGGAACTGCCCTGTTGTGTCGCCTCTACGTATGACGTGAATTTATCGCCAGTTCGAAGGTACAGTTGAAGATCATGTTTTTCTCGCGATATCGGCTGTCGGAGGATTGAACCACCACAGTCCACATCTCCTGAATGACTCCCACGGGTTTAGATCTTCATAAAAAGGCTGTTAAGAATAGTTTCCAGGAATCTGTCAGGCATTCTTGGTTCACTCTTTGTAGTAGAAGGTAGAGTGGTGAAACATTCTTGGGCTCATTATTGCTACTGGGTTTCCCTTAGTTGATTTACCTCTGCTGTTGAGGCTAATTTGTCCACGTTTCTGGTAGGGAGTTATGTCAGTACGTAGGTCTGGATCCAGCCCCTTCAGATCTTCCAGGTCTAATATATTATTCTTGCCTGTGCTCCAGAGAGTACAATAATGCAGTTTTGACAATCCCATTTATTTAGGGAGCATATATATATATATATATATATATATATATATATATATATATATATATATATATACATATATATATATATATATATATATATATATATATATATATATATATATATATATATATATATATATGTATATATATATATATTACATATATATATATATGTATATATATATATATATATATATATATATATATATATATATATATATATATATATATATATATATATATATATATATATATATATATATATATATATATATGTTGTGCCGAATAATTTTGACTTAAATACTAACGCTCCTCTTGCCGAATAAGGCAAGCGAAAATTTATATATGCAATAATTTCGCAAAAGTCATTCTGAACCTAAAGAAAAAATATATTTCATTATGTTTGTTTATTATTAAATTACTGTAAACTTATCTACAATATATTTATTTGGATTAGGCTAAATTAAATTGCGCTTGTTATAATAAGGTTAGGTAAGTTTTCTAAGGTTCTTTTGGCACAAAATTATTAATTTTTACATTAACATAAATGACAAAAATATGTCTTTATACGTATATAAGAAAATTTTAGAAACGACTTAATTTTAAATGAGCCCTTGCTAATTGACCAATTTTACCTATTCGGCACGACATATATGTACTGATGACTTTATATCCCTTGATATGTATGCATCGAGAGAAACAGTGTATGTATGTTTCGATGAACGTGTATCTCAGAATGTATACACTTGTACATAACATTAAATCCATGGAGTATGGATTAATGTTGGATTGACTGGTGGTGTTCAAGTGACTTGAAGTCTTCATGACCTTTCATGGTTTGACTGAATGAATGTAAACAACGAGAGATCTTGGTACATTCTCCATAAACAACGAGAGATCTTGGTACATTCTCCATAAACAACGAGAGATCTTGGTACATTCTCCATAAACAACGAGAGATCTTGGTACATTCTCCATAAACAACGAGAGATCTTGGTACATTCTCCATATCAGCAGTATCTGTGTGTTTGTGGGGGGGGGGGGTGGCTGGCGCTCACTGATCTCCCAGTCAAGAGACCCAGACTGTCACCTCCGCCATGAGCTCGACGTCTAAGAAGCTACGAACCTGCGTGACGATGTTATCCACCATTCTTATCTCCTATCGTTATCTGTCCTGTTATAATAACAACCTTATTGTGTTCTTCGTTTATAAGGTCTACCGGAGTGGTTACCCCCAGGTCCCTCACATTTTTTCTTCGCTCTTTAAACAGTGATTCGTTTTCATACATTGCTCTCTGTTTTCACTCCTGGAAAATTGGAAAACTCTGGAGATGGAATTTGTCTTTCTGGAAGATTAGTGGTTGCGGATAAGTCTGGAAATTTTCCATCATGTTATTTTTTTTTTTTTGGGGGGGGGATTAGGTAATGTGTGTGTGTGTGTGTGTGTACTCACCTAATTGTGGTTGCAGGGGTCGAGACTCAGCTCCTGGCCCCGTTGTGTGTGTGTGTGTGTGTGTGTTTGTGTGTGTGTGTGTGTGTGTGTGTGTGTGTGTGTGTGTGTAAGTTAGTCAACGTGCACACGTACACACGTGCACACAGCTTCTCCAATATTTTTTCAGTGAACTGATTCACACCTCGACTCACTTGCACTCTGGGAATTAAAATTTCTGTAACTCTAAGAAATTTCCAGTAATTCTGATCATTAAGCCAACTTTTGCGAACACTAAAAGTTTTCAATTATTATTATTAATTATTATAATTGTCATTACTATTATTATAACAATTATTATATCAATAATAATTATTATTAATAATTATTAATATTATTATTAATTATAATTATTATTATAATAATTATTATTATTAATTATTATTTATTATTATTAGTTATTATCATTTATTATTATTTTTATTACTTTCGCGTGGAAGCGCTAAACCCACCGGGGTCGTACAGTGTCTGGTTAATGGGAGGCAATGAGGCTTGTAGCAAGGAAAGGAACAACTCCAGTCCCTTGTATCCAGAGCCTTACTCCAGCACTACGGCGCCCACCAGGAAAGTTAAACCTCTTTCACGCGGCAAACCCGTAGGGGTGAGTGGTTGTTGGGGGGAGGGTTGTCATAGTAACCCAGTGAAGCAATTGAAGATGGTTTGGGCAAAAATTTTTTGGTCATTGGGTTTGGGTTTTGGGTTTGAAGGTTCTCGTTATGCACTCGTTCTCTTTCCCTTCATTTGTGGAAATGACACTGCTGTGTTCATCTGTGGCACTGATGTGTTCATCTATGCCACTGTTGTGTTCATCTGTGGCACTGATGTGTTCATCTATGGCACTGTTGTGTTCATCTGTGGCACTGCTGTGTTCATCTGTGGCACTGTTGTGTTCATCTGTGCCACTGACGTGTTCATCTATGGCACTGTTGTGTTCATCTGTGGCACTGCTGTGTTCCCGCAGCGTCTGACCTTGCCGACATGGTTACTCCCAGGTCCCTCTCACTTGTTTTATGTTTATGCTTTACTTTGAAATCTGGTTGCTGTCCTCTCTTCTCTTCTAGTTGTTTTTTCTAACTATCTATGGCTGAGCAGCTACACTCTCTCTTCGTGAACATTGTTTTCATGCTTCACGTTGTTTTCTGAGGCTCACTCTGCTTTCTGTGGCTCGTTGTGGCTCTTTGGCTCACTGTAACTCCCTGTGGCTTACTGTAGCTATCTGTAGCTCACTGTGGCTTACTGTAGCTCTCTGTAGCTCAATGTGGCTCACTGTAGCTCTCTGTGGTACACTGTGGCTCACTATACTTCACTGCAACTGAATGTAGTTCACTGTGGCTCAATGTAACTCTCTGTAGTTCACTGTAGCTTACTGTGACTCACTGTAGCTCACTGTGCCTCACTGTGGCTCTCTTCAAGACTTGCTTTACGCCAGCTTACAGCTTTCCTTTATGCTCAGTGGATGACAGTCTCGTATGAATGTTGCTATCATCTTCCCAGGAGCAGACAATGTTATTGTTTATGTCTTAGTATTAGTCAGACCTGTGAGAGAGTATTGGTCCCACCACCGAACCTTAGGTGGGGGTGTGACGTCAGGTGATTGTTGTGTGTGTGTGTGTGTGTGTGTGTGTGTGTGTGTGTGTGTGTGTGTGTGTGTGTGTGTGTGTGTGTGTGTAAGGTAATTATGGTGTAAATGGGATGTTAGGTGATTGTGGTGTGAGATGTAAGGTGATTGTGGTGTGTGGGAATGTAAGATGATTATAATGTGAGGAATGTAAGGTGATTGTTGTGAATGTGATGTAAGGTGATTGTGGTGTGTGATATGTAAGGTGATTGTGGTGTGTCCGAATGTAAGATGATTGTGGTGTGAAGGATGTATGGTGATTGTTATGTGTGTGATGTTAGGTGATTGTGGTGTGTGTGATGCAAGGTGGTTGTTGTATGTGGGATGTAAGGTGATTGCTGTGTGTGTGATGTTAGGTGATTGTTGTGTATGGGATGTAAGGTGTTTGTGTGTGTGATGCAAGATGATTATGGTGTGTGTTTGGGATGTCAGGTGATTGTGGTGTGTGTGATGTAAGGTGATTGTGGTGTGCGTGGGATGTCAGGTGATGATAGTGTGTGGGATGTAATGGGATTGTAGTGTGTGGGAAGTAAGGTGATTGTGGCGTGTATGATGCAAGGTGATTGTAGTGTGCCGGATGTAAGGTGATTGTAGAGTGTGGGATGTAATGGGATTGTAGAGTGTGGGATGTAATGGGATTGTAGAGTGTGGGATGTAATGGGATTGTAGAGTGTGGGATGTAATTGGATTGTAGAGTGTGGGATGTAATAGGATTGTAGAGTGTGGGATGTAAAGTGATTGTAGAGTGTGGGATGTAATGGAATTGTAGAGTGTGGGATGTAATGGAATTGTAGAGCGTGGGATGTAAGGTGATTGTAGAGTGTGGGATGTAATGGGATTGTAGAGTGTGGGATGTAATGGAATTGTAGAGCGTGGGATGTAAGGTGATTGTAGAGTGTGGGATGTAATGGAATTGTAGAGTGTGGGATGTAATGGAATTGTAGAGCGTGGGATGTAAGGTGATTGTAGAGTGTGGGATGTAATGGAATTGTAGAGCGTGGGATGTAAGGTGATTGTAGAGTGTGGGATGTAATGGGATTGTAGAGTGTGGGATGTAATTGGATTGTAGAGCGTGGGATGTCAGGTGATTGTAGAGTGTGGGATGTAATGGGATTGTAGAGTGTGGGATGTAATTGGATTGTAGAGCGTGGGATGTCAGGTGATTGTAGAGTGTGGGATGTAATGGGATTGTAGAGTGTGGGATGTAATTGGATTGTAGAGCGTGGGATGTCAGGTGATTGTAGAGTGTGGGATGTAATGGGATTGTAGAGTGTGGGATGTAAGGTGATTGTAGAGTGTGGGATGTCAGGTGATTGTGATGCAAGAGTGACATAAACACTGCCTGTCGAATCAGTACATTTTACCGACATAAATACAATGCTCACCCGACACTCTCTTCTCCCCTTTCAAGTAATTTTTAGAATTCCGTTTAAAAAAAATCAAAATTTCTTTTCTTTTTTACAAAAAAAGAAGAAAAAACCCTACACTTTGTCTCATTTGATTCGCTTCTCCCACTTATCCACAACCTGCCCTTCCCAGACCATTATTATTCTCCCTTTTTATCCTTCTTCACCCTTTCTCTCCCCCCGTTCATTCTTGTAGCCTCATTACGTCAAAAATATGTATGTATTGCCGTGGTTAAGTCGCTACTTGGCGAAAATCGCAATAAATTATCGATAAGAAGCCTTGACTTGTAGGCGGCTGCAATCTAATGTATGGGTTTATGAATAGTTAATTTCACCTATACGATGGACCTGTGACTCTGACTGTAACCTTAGACGTAACTCGACCTTGATAAACTATCAAGGATAACTCTTAAGAATTTATCCAGCTTTGAAGGCGATTAGAGTTTGGGTGGTAAATCGCTGATCCCCTCAGTGAGTCCTTGACGTTGAAAGAATAGAAAAAGATAAAACGATGACCTTGGACCGTAAGTTTCATGTTTCTGCGTGACCCTAAGATTAATATTGGACTTGTCTCCACCGAAAGCAAAGTAGATTTTTTTTTTTCGGGAATGACCCTCAGAAAGCTTATCGAAAATTGGAAAAAAAGGTGACCTCTGGAAGCGTCAGGCGGTCAGAGCGCTGAAACAGTGACGGACGCAAGACATATATAGTTCGGAAATAATCAAAGGGGTTGGCGATTTACGCCAAGTAACGACGGTGGCTTGACCATAGACGGCAAGACATACCCTGCTGGGCCGTCCTCCTTCTTGTAGTGCTGCTTTATACTGGCTGGAGCGTGGTCTTCCTTTCTACCCCCTGTGTATCCTTTCTAGACCCTAGCCACTACCCCTCTGCATGATCCACTCATCCTTCACCTATTTGTCCTAACCCCGGGGATAAGACACATTTTCACAGTCAATATGTTTCTCGAGGGAGACGTATCATTGTTGGTGGCTTTCTCAATTCCAACACAGACCATCAATGAAGAAACGTCGCCTTTAATGTTTGATTGTGCATATGCGTCTTATTCCCACAATCCGTGGGAATTGTCCATGAACAATCATAGCCCCCATCCCACTTCGTTAAAGTCTCTTAATAACCCTAGCCCTTCCCTCTAGCTGTGCCCTTCCTCCCTTTACACACCTTTCGTTGTAGCTTTTGCCCCCTTTTTCCCTTATAGCTCTAACCCTTTCCCCTTGATTGTAGCTGTGCCCCCTTCTTGGTCACTGAAAACTGTGCGCATGCTTCGCCAGAAACTCCTAGACAAAATCCTCACCAGCATGCAGGAGCTGGCCAATGTTTTACGCTCATGACTGTGTTATCATACCGTGTGAAGCCATAGATTTGTTGTGTCACTCAACTAATAGCTTCTCTCTTTCTCTCTCCATCTCTCTGTCTGTGTCTCTCACTCTCTATGTCTCTCTATCTATCTCTCTTTTGGTGATTATTAATATTATTTACCCAAAGAAATGGTCATCCTTAGTCATCGGAGACATCTGTTTATATGCGAATACAAGCGAGGCTGTGTGAGGTAGGTGTCTTGTGTGTGGGTCTCAGGGCTTGACTCCCTCCCTCCAACTGTCTCACCTTCAGGCCATTGACGTGTGGACCGGTGTATGCCTCACCTTCGTCTTCGGGGCGCTGCTGGAGTTCGCGCTCGTCAACTACGCCTCGCGCTCCGATAAACACCGCGAGAAGATGAAGGAGAAATTTGACGAGCAAAAGAAGCAGTGGGAAGCAGAGCACGCAGCAGCTCTGCAGACAGCTATGCAGGCGCAGACAGAAGATGGTCACACCTTTGCTATGGTAAGTAACTGTAGTGGTGACCTGAAGATGCAGGAGCACCTTTGGTGACGTTGCCTCTTCAACCTTCCTTTATTAGTGCAATAAAGAGAAGGGGTTGGGAATTGCACACCTCTGCAACACATAGGCATCTTTATTTGAGACGCTTCGCACGTCATCTCTGTAAAAAACACTGGAGTTCGAAACATCTTTAAACAAAGATACCAATACGCTGCATATGTGTGTAATTCCTACAGTCTTCTTTGGTTAGAACACAAGTGCACAGATATCATCGTTTCGGTCCTGGACCTTGGTCACTCCCAGTGATCACTGGCAGTGACCAAGGTCGTCCCAGGACCGAAACGTGTCGTATAGAAACAATGCCATAAATGTATGCACTTGAGTCCTGAAATCCATGATGTCACATCAATATCATCTTCCTTCAGCCCTTCATTTGCACAACGTTTCGCCCAACACAGGACTTGGAAAAGCCCAGTGTCGGGCGAAACGTTGGACAGACAAGGCACTTGTGTCCAAATTGTGTAACAGACACTTCAGCCTTGTCTGTTACAATGTAAGAGACATTTCAGCCGTGTCTGTTACAATGTAACAGACACTTCAGCCTTGTCTGTTACAATAAGTTCTCCAACTCCTCACTGTGCTTTAATTTCACGAGTTTGTATACATTAAAACATCCCGTTTGTAGTGGTCCTTTTCCTCATCTATCCCTATCCACCCCTTCAATCTCCCTACGTAGATAACTGGTTCAGAGAACCCACAGGTTGGTGAATTAAGACACTTGTACAGCACTTGGGAATCTCTATTGATTCCGCAAGTGCTGCACCAGTGTCTAATTCGCCTCCCTACCTAGTTTTAGAACGACGCGGAGATCTCTCTCTCCCCCTAAGGTGAAGTTAGACTAGGATTATCTAGGTTAGGTTACACGTGTGCTAGATTGTGCGGTGATGTGTTGAATGTCTCTAAATCACTGTGTCTCTCACTGTGTTGACATTCTAATGTTTATTTGCCTGTGTGTGTGTGTTTGTTGTTTTAATCTAAATATCATGAGAATGGACTGATAACTTTTGTTTTGAAGAGACGGCGTGGAGACTTCCTAGCGAGATGCAAACTAACCTATAAATAATCTCTCCCGTATTTCCTCCCCTATGTCTCCTACGTCTCCTGTCTCCTCTATCTTCTACCCTCCGCGAAGAATGCACCTCCTTCATAAACCCGAAATAGAGTAGAAAACAGGGTTAGAAGCAGGTAGACTAAAGTGAAATAGAGGAGGAGGGGTAGAAAATACAGGAATTATCCCTCTAATAGGTCTCAATGGCTCTTAATTCGTTAATATTGAAGTCATCTACCCTTCTGTTGGATGGGGTTTGATTACCTTCCTATTCCCCTATTCTCCAGACGCTGTACGACCCCCATTTAAGTCTGGAGACGAAGAAATAGACAGGAAATGGGTAGTCAGGAAATACGAAGTTAGGAAATAGACAGGAAAGAGACAGGTAATGGGTAGTTAGGAAATAGTGCACTAGGAAACAGTTAACAGCAAATAGACAGACAGGAATAGAGGAAACAGAAACAGAATAATTAAGCAATCGCTCTACTATCGATTGCTCTTGGTAAAGAATAACGATAGTAGTCCATAGGTAGACGATAGACATAGTGCAATAGAGTACATAGGAACACACAACTGGCAAGGTAAATGGCGAGGCCAAACAGAGAAAGTGAGAGAAAGCAAAACGTCAGCAATGAAAGTTTGAAGGAGATCTGAAGAAGCATTCACCAGATATTTCCACGAAACCCATTAATTCCCCATTTTTTTAAGTTAGTAAATTGGAGAACAGCATGAAACTGGGTTTAAATACTCAGCATAAAGATTTGAAGCTGTTCCGAAGAGTCATTCTCCAGGTGTTGCTCCGATAAATTTCGATTTCAAAAATAAAATTAGAAAATTGGCACCTCCGCAGTTCCGCAAAATATAAAGACTTTGGAAGTTTGAACCCAATCTGTGTAAGCATTCTTAAGAACCAATGCCTCGTTTTGACCTGTAAACTCAAGACGCAGCGAAGGACTCAGTTCGACGTGGTCCTGGTCTATAAAATTGCCAATAACGGCACTTAACTTGTAAAAAAAATATCCGAACCTTCCTTCAGGTATGGCAAATCAGCTTTAAGAAGTTTAAAGCTTATCTGAAGAGTCGTTCTCAAGTTACAGACGAAAACCTGGGAGGGAGACGAGGGTAAAAACAAAAGAAGTCCGACAGTCACTATCGATATTTCTTTTTATATTACAAATTTGATCACAGTGAGGCCAGATTTTTTTAATAAGAACAAACGAAGGGCGTATCCCTACGTCATTACTGACGTAGTGTTTTGCTCTGTGACATCCTTAGAGCGAAACGTTGACGCTGGAAAGTCTTACTGTGATACATGTCTGTTTATGCTGTATAATCACAGGGGGAGTTGAGTAATAGTTCTAGGCCTTTCGTCTTGCATTCAACACATCTTCAGGAGCCTGCAGTGTTTGTAGAAATGTGTAGGAGTCCAGGCAAGTTCATTCAGAGGAACGCATCTACCTGGATTTCCTATTCATTTGTGAAAACACTGCAAGCTCCTGAAGATGTGTTGAGTGCAAGACGAAAGGCCTATAACTAACACTCAACTCCCCCTGTAGTTGTTTTGCATTTTGTGTATACCTGGAGATACCTGGAGAAGGTCTCGGGGGTCAACGCCCCCTCGTCCCGGTCTGTGTCGCTTGTTCCCGATTAGTGTACAGTGCCTCCTGATATTCACGTGTGTCTGTAGAAAGCCGCTTAAAGATACTGAGAACCAGCATCAGAAGGACAAGGGGGGACCCTGAACTACACTCCTCCTAACTCTAACATTAGAAATCCCCTAACCCCCTCCTCTTCTAACACGCGTCCCTAGATTAGAACCCAACACAGTAGATCACATAAGAGATTACAAGTTTTAGGTAGAAATCCCTCGTATAGATGTTGTTCTAAAAGGGTGTTTCAAATCTTGCCCTGTCCAGCCAGCCTCTCCACCCCGTCCACGACGGCTGATGGACCTTCTTATTGCGAAGACGGTAAGTGTGGCACCTGTCCAGGTGCTAGGAGAGTCACTCATGCCTTGCCTTGCTAGGATACATACAAGTTATTCTCTCCCTCCCCCTCCTCCTCCCACAATTTCCTTACCTTCTTTCCTGCTTTGCTAGGCTCTAACCTGTCTTGCTAGGAGCTAGTGACATGCCTTTCTCATTTGCTTTACTAGGAGAGAGTAATGTGCAGCTCTTACTCTGCTGAGAGTAACATACGACTCTCACTTTACAGAGAAAGAGTAACACGACTTTCTCTCTTCCACATTTTCCCTTGTTTATCCTTATGTAGGCTTTTATTATCGGTTACTGCTTTTGCTTGGCCTCTCTTCTTTAGAAGATAAACAAAGACTTGTAGTGGCAACCTATCCAGCTGGTTGACTCAGGGTGATGTGTTGACTCACGGTGATGTGTTGACTCACGGTGATGAGTGTGTTGACTGACGGTAATGAATGCGTCAATTCATGGTGATGAATGTGTTGACTCACGGTGATGAGTGTGTTGACTCGGCAGTGTGTGATGAATATATTGACCTAGCAGTATGTGATGAGTGTGTGTATTTAGGAGTAAAGAATCAATGGACAGTCCCATGGCCCGGCTAAATACAGGAATCTAACCTTGACAAATTTCAAGACAAAGCAACAATAACAACGTTCTCCCCCCCCCCCCCAAAAAAAAAAAAAAAAAAAAAACGTAAAAACATGTAGGCAAAAACGTATTTCTTTTTCAAATTCCAATTAAATTATTAAGACTTTCCTCACATCTCCAATGAAAATGCAGTTTAAAAAAAAATTATTTAAAACGATGAAAACACAATGTTTCTTGAGATACGAATGATCTTTCGTCCAGGCGACGCTGGTCTATATTATAGTCAGGTAAGGTCAACCAGTCAGCTCTCCTTAAAAGCTTCTCCTTAGAGCGGGATTGTTCGTAAATCCGAATGAATGAGAATATCCGTGATTGAATAGCACATGGGAAGTCCTTCACAGTATGTGCTATTCAATTTTCGATGCGATTTTTTTGAAAAAAGTATTTAGGAAAAATTTGGGATATAGAGAGAAGGTACATGAGAGCTGACTGTGTTCCTCGCTATCTTATTTTTTTAGCGAAAAATTTAAGTTATTTGAAAGGTAAATTCCCACCTCCGTGAGAGGTAACCTGTAATGTTGTAGTGGCAGACTTGTTTATCAAGGCTGGGGACTGACCACCTTCTATCAGGGCTGAGAGACTGACCACCTTCTATCAGGGCTGAGAGACTGATCACTTTCTATCAGGTCTGAGAGACTGACCACCTTCTATCAGGGCTGAGGGACTGACCATCTTCTATCAGGGCTGAGGGACTGACCACCTTCTATCAAGGCTGAGGGACTGACCACCTTCTATCAGGTCTGAGAGACTGACCACCTTCTATCAGGGCTGAGAGACTGATCACTTTCTATCAGGTCTGAGAGACTGACCACCTTCTATCAGGGCTGAGGGACTGACCATCTTCTATCAGGGCTGAGGGACTGACCACCTTCTATCAAGGCTGAGGGACTGATCACCTTCTATCAAGGCTGAGGGACTGACCATCTTCTATCAGGTCTGAGAGACTGACCACCTTCTATCAGGGCTGAGGGACTGACCATCTTCTATCAGGGCTGAGGGACTGACCACCTTCTATCAGGGCTGAGAGACTGACCACCTTCTGTCAGGGCTGAGGGACTGACCACCTTCTGTCAGGTCTGAGAGACTGACCACCTTCTATCAGGGCTGAGAGACTGACCACCTTCTGTCAGGGCTGATGGACTGACCATCTTCTGTCAGGTCTGAGAGACTGACCACCTTCTATCAGGGCTGAGGAACTGAACATGTTTCGGTCATTTTGTGCGATGATTTCGACATGGGCGATGTTTCGGGCATCATCGACGCTCTGAAATCGACTGAAACATCACGGTAGAAGAAGAAGAAGAAGAGAAAGATAGAAGAAGCAGAGAAGAAAAGAGCAGAAGATAGGAGAATGAAGAGAAGAAGACTAGAAGAAGACGGAAGAAGAAGAAGAAGAAGAAGAAGAAGAAGAAGAAGAAGAAGAAGAAGAAGAAAAAGAAGAAGAAGAAGAAGAAGAGAAGAAGAAGAAGAAGAAGAAGAAGAAGAGAAAAGAAGAAGAAGAAGAAGAAGAAGAAGAAGAAGAAGAAGAAGAAGAAGAAGAAGAAAGAAGAAGAAGAAGAAGAAGAAGAAGAAGAAGAAGAAGAAGAAGAAGAAGAAGAAGAAGAAGAGAAGAAGAAGAAGAAGAAGAAGAAGAGAAGAAGAAGAAGAAGAAGAAGAAGAAGAAAAGAAGAAGAAGAAGAGAGAAGAAGAAGAAGAAGAAGAAGAAGAAGAAGAAGAAGAAGAAAGAAGAAGAAGAAGAAGAAGAAGAAGAAGAAGAAGAAGAAGAAGAAGAAGAAGAAAAGAAGAAGAAGAAGAAGAAGAAGAAGAAGAAGAAAGAAGAAGAAGAAGAAGAAGAAGAAGAAGAAGACGAAGAAGAAGAAGAAGAAGAAGAAGAAGAAGACGAAGAAGAAGAGAAAAAGAAGAAGAAAAAGAAGAAGAGAAGAAGAAGAAGAAGAAGAAGAAGAAGAAGAAGAAGAAGAAGAAGAAAGAAGAAGAAGAAGAAAAGAAGAAGAAGAAGAAGAAGAAGAGAAGAAGAAGAAAGATGAAAGAAGAAGAAGAAGAAGAAGAAGAAGAAGAAGAAGAAAGAAGAAAAAAAGAAGAAGAAAAAAGAAGAAGAAGAAGAAAACAGCAACAAAAAGAAGAACAAAAAGAAAAAAAAACAACAGCAACAAAAGAAAACACACAAAAAGAAAAAAACAACAACAACAAAACAAAAACAAGACAAACCACAACAAGAACAAGAACAAGAAAACAACAACAACCACAACACAAACAACAACAACAACCAAACAACACAAAACAAACAACAACAACAACAACAACAACAAACAACAACAACAACAACAACACAACACAAACAACAACAACAAAACAACAACAAACAACAACAACAAAACAACAAACAACAACAAACAACACAACAACAACAACAACAACAACAACAACACACAACAACCAAACAACAAACACAACAACAACAACAAAACAACCACAACAACACAACAACAAAACAACAAACAAAACAACAACAACAACAAACAAAACAACAACAACACAACAACAACAACAAACAACAACAACAACAACACAACAACAACAAACAACACAACAAACAACAACAACAACAAACAACAACAACAACAACAACACAACAACAACACAACAACCACAACAACAACAACAACAACAACAACCACAACAACAACAAAACCACCAACAAACAACAACAACAACAACAACAACAACAACAACAACAACAAACAACAACAACAAAAACACAACAACACACACACAACAACAACAACAACAACAACAACACACAACAACAAAACACCAACAAACAACAACCACAACAACAACAACAACAACAACAACAACACAACCACAACAACAACAACAACAACCACCAACAACAACAACAACAACAACACAACAACAACAACACAACAACAAAACAACAACAACAACAACACACCACAACAACAACAACAACAACAACAACCACAACACCAACAACAACAACAACAACACAACAACAACAACAACAACAACAACAACAACAAAAACAACAACAACAACCACAACAACAACAACATCAACAACAACCCAAAAACAACAAACAAAACAACCACAACAACAACAAAAACCACACACAACAACAACAACACAACAACAACAACAACAACAACAACACAACAACAACAACAACAACAACAACAACAACAACAACAACAAACAACAAAAAAACAACAACAAAAACAACAAAACCACAACAACAACACAACAACAACAACAACAACAAAAAACCCACAACAACAACAACAACCACAACAACAACAACAAACACACAACAAACAACAACAACACAACAACCACAACAACACAACAACAACAACAACAACAACAACAACAACCACAACAAACAACAACAAACAAACAACAACAACAACAACCACAAACAACAACAACAACACAACACCAACAACAACAACAACAAACAACAACAACAACAACACAAAACAACACAAAAACAACACAACAACAACCACAACAACAACAACAACAAACACACAACAAACACCACAACAACAACAAACAACACAACAACAACAAAACACAACAAAACAACCAACAACAACCACAACAACAACCACAACAACAACAACAACAACAACAACAAAAACAACAACAACCACAACAACCACAACAACAACAACAACAACAACAACAACAACAACAACAACCACAACAACAACAACAACAACAACAACAACAACAACAACAACAACCACAACAACAACAACAACAACAACCACAACAACCACAACAACAACAACAACAACAACAACAACAACAACAACAACCACAACAACCACAACACAACAACAACAACAACAACAACAACAACAACAACAACAACAACCACAACAACACAACAACAACAAAACAACAACAACAACAACAACCACAACAACCACAACAACAACAACAACAACCACAACAACCACAACACAACAACAACAACAACAACAACAACCACAACAACAACAACAACAACAACAACAACAACAGCAACAACAACAACAACAACAACAACAACAACAACATCATCCACTTAGCTTTTCCTTGATACATTTCCACACAGGTGAACACAGACTCCCACTTAAGGCTTCCCAAAACATCAACAATATGAAAATGACTTCACGATGTCAAGAAGGAAAGAAGTGAAGTAACAAGCTTCTTTCCCAGAGGCTACAGTCTTCAGCACACAGCTCCTACGAGGATGTCCGTGTCTACGTTACACGTACACTCAATTAGCTAC